ATCAGGGAGCTAAATGGAGTAGAGACACACAACTGCCTGATTTTCACTTATGCAAATCTCCTTTTTAGACCTCTAACCATAATGAAGAGCATAATATGATTTACATTGAGGTTGTTTCATAGAGTGGCATAAAGTAGCTCTCCCCCAACTGAAACACAGGCCCTGCTGATGAAAGGGGGACTCTATTCACTGCAAAATTAAGGAGCTGCACAAATTCCTGGTGGGACTTTGATTGGAGAAGTATTTAATCTGAAAAGCAGTCCAGGCAATTAAATGGCTGCTGCTGAATATCGTACAAAGCGCTGCAAAGAGCTGTAATTAGTGACAAATAAGTCTGTCTGTCTGCTAATGTGGATGCTGCTGCTCTGGCACTTTTGGAAACCATTTAACTGCCTCTTTTTCCTCCTCCTTGTGAAGTGCTGGGCAGGGAGTGGATGAGCTCAGGCTGGAGCAACACAGGTGATGCTGAGTCAGCTGGAACTGAGCTGGGTCAGTCCTTGGATGTGTTCTAGTGTTGATGTGACTGGAAAGGCAATGACAAACAGCATGTTTTGTGTCAAAACTGGGGCAGAAAATGTTCCTGGTGGTGGTGGTGAAGCTCCTCAGCCCTCACCTGTCCCAGGGTGCCTGTCCCCAGCCCAAGCATCCCTGCCTGTCCTGGGGTGCCTGTCCCCAGCCTTTCTCTCTTAGGGCTGTCACTGCCAGCCCGCCTGTCCTGGGGTGCCTGTCCCCAGCCCTTCTCTCTTAGGGCTGTCACTCCCAGCCTCACTGAACATATTTATACCTGGATCACCTCAACCAGCAGCTCTTTTTCCTTTTTAATGCCATTCAGACTATGCAGTTTGTTGGGTGAGGGAATCAAGGTGTTGCACTGACTCATCAGGCAGAGTCAATACAGGGAAGCAGAGCCCAAGAAGTTTAAGCACTGTCACAAATCATCTCATTTCATACTTTGCATCAGAAGAAAAAATACTTATAAAAAGTGCAGGAGACCAATACATCAGTGTGGTGGTACAGAGACCTTTGGTGAGGGTCAGCAGGGAGAACCTGCCCAAGGCACATCAGTGGAACTGCAGCATCATAAAGGCTGGAAAACACCTTTAAGATGATTGAGTCCAACCATTAACCTCACACTGCTAAGTCACCACTAACCGTGTCCTCAAGTGCCACATCTACACAGATTTCAAATCCCTCCAGGGGTGGAGACTACACCACTGCCCTGGGCAGCTGTGCCTCAGCACCTTCTCAGTAAACAACTTCTTCCTAATATCCAACCTAAACCTCCCCTGGTTCAGCTTGAGGCCATTCCCTCTTGTCCTACCACTCGTCACCTGGGAGAAAAGACCAACCCCAGCAGGGGCTGAGAGGCAATAAGGCCTTACCTGCCATGGGAAAGGCTTTGAGCACAAGGATGAGCAGCCACACCAACATCTTATGAGCCTGTGCAGCTTGTGCATCTGCCTGTTGCCTCTTGCCCTACGCTCAGGACAACCTTTGGAGTCCAACTGTGCCAAAGGAAGATCTGACTGAGAGAGCATCTGAACTCAACATGAATGAAACAACGTCAATACTAAATAAGCATCTCCTTGATGCTGCTTTTATGAAGGAAAAGGCAATTTCTTTGTAAATGAGCTGGTTAAGGTGATCTGTTTACTGTACTTCTGCCAAGAAAAATAATTGTTGGCATTGCTTTTTGCTCAGGATATAAATCTTAGCCTGGCTGAGGGTGATCAAATTGAAAATTTATGAGCAGGTAGATTAAAAATAGAATCAGGTCAATGGGAGTTCTTCCCAAATGGTGTGGAGCAGCACACACTGCCAGAGTGGAGAGCCCTGGCTGCAGAGCTCGGTGAGCAGCAGCACTGGGACAGAGGCAGTGGGACAGACTGGGACACAGTGGCCCAGCAGTGCTGTGGCTGTGCCAGCTCCAGGGCACGTCAGGGACCTCACCTGCCTGGGCCATGGGGATGGAGCTGGCACAGGAACGAGCTGCAAAGCCAGGGAAGCAGCGTGACGTGCATTTATGGCTGCTAAAAGGTGGGAAAGAAGAGGCTTTGCTGCTTAATTTGCTGATTCTCAGGATGTGGTGCCTGGTTAGGAATAGCAGAGAACGAGGGACACATGAGGAAACAAGTGATGTGTCGTTCAGAGTCACATCACTCAAGGCAAGGGGTGTAAGTCACTGTAATTGCATTAACATGAGCATGTTTCCATCATCAAGGTCTGTCTGTCAAGTGGGACAGAGAGCACTCAGAACAAATGCTTGAGGAGAGCAATAAAACACCCTATTGCAGGGGCTCAAAGCGCAGAAAGTGGAGGAAGAACAGATCTTGCAAGTTTAATTAACCTTTTCTGCTGCAACAAGAATGTCAAACAACTCCAGTGTCACTGATATGCTAACAGAGGGGAAAATAAACACTGATACAAGGATGAAATACAGCGAAAGTCAACCTTCCCTGACAGCTTCCAGGAGCACAGACAGGAGCTGACAACACTGTGGTTATCTACAGCCAGCAGCAGATTTGAACTCCTTTTGCTTCTCCTCTTCTGCTATGCAAACAGGCTGATAACTGGGCTTGGAGGAGCCACAATGTGATCTGCAGGGCACACGTCAGGGCACAGCAGTCACTGTGCAGGTGACACATCTGACAGCTCATATTGCATAGAATCACAGATGGTTTGGCTTGGAAGATCCTTAAAGACCATCTCATTCCAACCCCACACCTTCCACCAGCCCAGGCTGCTCCAACCCCATCCAACCTGGAACACTCCAGGGATGGAGCAGCCACAGCTGCTCTGGGCACCCTGTGCCAGAGCCTCAGCACCTCACAGGGAGGGATTCCTGCCCAGTATCCCATCTAAACCCTCTTTGAGCATCCTTTGGCCTGTTCCCCTCTCCAGACATGAGCCCTGACCCACCAAAACCAACCTGGAATCTCTGCCCACATTAGAGCTGTAGTTCAGTAACAAAACAAAACTTCTCAGCTTTAAAAAGAAAAGTTATTAGGGAAAATGTTCTCTTTTTTTCACCTAAAAAGTTTACAGGAAGTGACTTTCTCTCAAAGAATTTTGCTGCCACATGAAACTCCAGAGCCTAATGCACAGAATGCAGGTCTGGGGTTGTTTCTAAGGGACCTGTTTGGCTGCCAAGCATAAGTTACCCTTAAAGCTAAGTACTTAACTAGTAAATCATCGTCCTCAAACAACAAGGATGATATTTTAGGCAATTATCTGTCAAACCTACAACCAGCCAAGCCTGACACCTCTCCATCAGGAACTCCTCTGCTCACATGGAGCACATGGAGAGATCTCAGTGTTACTGAGAGAGAAGGACACTCCTCTTCCCTCTCATCTTCAGCTTCCTTGCTGAAATGCCACCTTGAGTGTGAAATCCAGCACGAGCCACAGTGGCAGCTTTTGTGTAGGATCCACAGCCCTCCAGGATGGGATCCAGGCTGGGAAATTCATTACTGTAACGAGATGATCACTTAAGCTATGCTGTGGTGGGAGGACTCCAAAGGCTCCACTTACTGCAGGGAAGCAGGTTTGGCTGTGGGCTGAGCAAAACTGTGCAAGTGATGAGTCTTCTCATTTAGTGTCCACATGGGAAAAATCAGGAGAAACACAAATTGTTTGATGAAGAGGAAAAGGAATCTTTAAATCATTTAATTAAAAAAATTAAACCCAGATCACATCAACCTCAGATTCTTTGCTCAACAGGAAAGATTCCACTTTGTTCTTGCTCTTCCACTCCTTTTTAATGTTTTCTCATTTTAGATTTTGCTCAGTTTTTCAAAGGAGAAATGTTCATTTGAAACAGAAGCCCCAAAGTTCTGATTTCCAAATGAAATGTCTCTTAGAAATAGCTCCAATTCGAAAACATCTCTACATGTGCAGTTTGTTTTGGTGTTTTTTTTAAATCACTTTACTCACCAAATTCAATCCAGTTTTGCCAGGAGGGTTAGTTCCCAAACTCTTTCTCTGTGGGAAGGTTACTGTAAATCCAAAAACATTCTTCTCATGTCTGGAGTTCAACCCAACCCTCCCTGCTGACAGGAGTTGGGCCCTCAGGAGCATGTGGGGAGAGCACACTGCACTTCTGGCCAGATGCTCTGTGAAGAACAACACTGTTGTGCTCCTGAAGGTGATAACAGAGCAATAGAAGGAGGATTTTTTGATGGTGAGGAGGTGTCTGCACACCTAGGTGGAGATGTGTGACCTGCAGCTTCAAAACATCTCACACAGAAACTCTGCACCACACCAAGAGTTCATTTGTGCCTCTCACTCACCTCTGCCAGGTAAAGCCACACTAAGGACAGACAGAGCTCTCCATGCTTCACCCCCTCAAAGCATCAAATTTGCTTTGCAGATGGGGCTGTTCCCAGCAGAAATGTGGGATGGGCAGACATTTGCACCAGGATCAGAGCCACTAAAGCACCTTGCGATTCACACAGAGTCCTGTGAAGCTGAAATGTGTTTTTTTGTGCCTGGCTCAAGGACTCTGGTTTCAGTGGGACAAGAGCAGGTGGAGAAAGCCTTTGGGTGGGAAGCTCTGTCAGCTCTGACAGGTTAAATCTCAACTCTCTACAGTGCAACCAATGATCCCTCCTGAAAACACTTTCCTTAATCGGCTCTAAGCAACTAAATTTATTCCTGCAAGCTGGGGCAACTCACACCCAATAAACCCCCAGCTGTACCCACAGTGCTCCCCCACAGCACCTGCCTTGCCCTCAAACCACAGGAAGGCAAACAAACCCTTTTTTGGCACATTTACCACACCAATGTCCTTCCAGCAATGTTTTTTCGTTCCAACTGCTCAGATTCTCGATTAATATGCACCATCCAGACAGGTTTTATGTCAAATTACAGCCTTCTTGAGATGTGCTGTTTGGCAAAGAAAGTCATTTTGAAAATGTCCTCCCCAAATTACCTCCTCACAAAATATTTACTGCAGATTGCACTGGAGGCAATAAAGCCCCTGAAGCAGGCAGGCTGCTCACCGTAAAATGTCAGTTGTCCTCGTGCCACGTTCTTCCCTCTCACGTTTTCAGCTACACATTCATAGGGTCCAGAGTCTTCTTGCTGAAAATTTGGGATTTCAAGGAGTCCACTGGATCTGTGTCTCCTGGCTTTCCTGGGGATCTGTTTCCCATCAGCTCTCCTCCAGCTGATGGTAGGAACTGGGCTAAATAAGGAAAATAAAGCAAAATAAGAGTTGCAGAAAAAGCCATGGGTTTGGTCCTGAGAAGCTCTTGTCTCGTAGTATGTTCAGGAGTTGGAATGGAGCTCAGAGCTCCTCCAGCCCCAGCCCCTGCCCTGGGCAGGGACACCTCCCAGCAGAGCTGCCTCCCGTCCTGTGCCAGTGTCTCACCACCCTCACAGGGAAAAACTTTTTCCTAATATCTAATCTAATTTCCCTCTTTAAATTTCTCCTGGTTCCTCCTTGTCCTATCATTGCAGTACCTAACACGGAGTCCCTCTCTGCAGCTTCCCTGGAGCCCCTTCAGCTCCTGCAGCTTCCCTGAGCAACTCACACTGTCTCATGCCTGGGGATGAGGAAGACATGGTTAGTCTGAAGCCTCTGGCACAGGATCTGGAGCCACTTTATTATGGGTGGGTTATATATAATATAAATATGCATAGATTTACCAACAGTGTGTGTTGCTCACAGAGCCTTAAAGCGAGAGACATAGTATTAAAATGCTGTTTTGACACAGTTGAACTTGGGGTTCTGCTGTGACAATGCATCCATGTGAGGTGCAGAGGCTCTGGCACAGGGTGCCCAGAGCAGCTGTGGCTGGGTCC